CAGCCGAGTCTGATTGGACTAGCCCCCTGCCAGGTGTCTGCCGCCAAATAATCTGCAGAGCTGGGGGTGTGGTCGGAGAGTTTAGTGTCCAGAGCCCCCCCGAAGACAGGGCAGAGTTGGGGGAAACAGCAGAGGGAGAAGTCGGAGAGCGGGCTGCAGGACAGTGCAGCAATAGGCTCGTTCGGGCAAAAACATGCACAGGTCAGTGAGGGGAAAGCCAGAATTCAAGTGGGAAAAAGAGAGCTAGCAACAGATGCGAGCAGTTCACCCAAGTAGGTGTTTGAATGGGAAATACATGCGGAGAAGCCCTTCATTTCTACTAATTATAAAAGAAATGCAAAATTAAAATGACCTCATGTTGTTCCATGATAGCCAAGGGGATGGGGAGAATGCAAAGGACCCAAAGAAATCCAAGGTAAGAATCCTGCGTAGGTGTTATCTATAAAGGGAAATACCAGAGCAGGTGTTTGGCACAGTTAAGATGCTGCTTGGTACACCCGTGTTCCATAGTGTGGTATCTGGGTCAGGTCCTACCGCTGCTTCTCTCTCAGCCTCCTGCTGACATACCCTGAGAGCAGCAGGTGGCGGCTCAGGTCCCTGAGTCCCTGCCGCTCACTGGAGACCTGGATGGAGTTCTAGCCTGCTGACTTCAGTCTGGCCCGACAGATTATTAAAAAGAAAGAAGTAAATACATAGAAAGTCTTCAGTGTCCAGGAAAGGAAAACGACTGATTAAGTTTTTCTGCAACCGAAATGATAAGATATGATATAGCCACCAGAAATTATGTTTCAGGGAAATGGTAAGAACCAAAAGCCTCAATGTGGCAAAAATGGTTTCATTTAAAAAGAAAATAGAAAATGATTGTGGCTGTCATCGCAGTTTGATACTTTTTTTAAAAGATTCATCTAATTGTTTGAAAGACAAAGTTTAGAGAGAGAGAGAGAAAGAAGTCTTCTATCAGTTAATTCATTCCTTAAATGACCACAGCGGCTGAAGTTGGACCAATCCAAAGCCAGGAGCTGGGAGCTTCTTCTGGATCTCACATGGGTGCAGGAACCCAAGCACTTGGACATGAACTGGCACCCGTGTGATATGCTGGGGTCACAGAGGCTTAAGATGCTGTGCCACAACGCCAGCCAGCCTTCAGTTGAACAATTTTAACACCTTTCTAAAAGGACACATTTGCTGTGTCGCCCGTCGTTAATATCACAGATACTTGTACACAGCAGCGGGTGTTGTCCGAGCTGCCAGGAGAGAGTGCTGCAGAAAGACAGGCCTCTCTCTGCTTGTGGCTCGTTCAGCCAGTCGGAGGCTGTGCAGGCAGCAGTGACTCGTCACAACAGACTGGGGCTTGGACGGAGAAGCACATGTGCCATAGTGTGGACGGTAAGGGGTATGTGACAGGCTGTGACACTACCGGTGCCTCTTACCTCCTTCTCTACATTCTTGCATACTTCCCAGATTTTAAATAATGAGCATTTGCTTTTTATTTTGGAAAAATAGTAACAATTATAGTACAAAAGGAATCTATTTTTAAATTCAAGAAGAGGAAACAAATGGGACTGGGCAGCAATGGCATCTCTAGGTGGTTCACAGGCGATGCCATGGAGAAGGGGTGACATTGGTCCATGCGAACCCAACAGGTCCAGCATGCCAAAGGGTAAAAGTTCCCAGAAGGAGGTACAGGCTTTTTGTGACATCGTGCAGCAGTGTCGCATGGGAAGCAGTGTTGCAGCACACAGGGAAGCCGTTAGCTGCATTCCTGGGCTCAAGGGAGTGCAGCTGAGCACGTGGAGAAAGCAGGGGAAATCCCCAGGAGGCAGAACCCGAAAGCTACAACAGGTGCATGAGGCCGGGAGCTGCTGGGGATCTTGGCAGGGGATTTGATCCTGAGCCTCAAACAAGACCCCAGTGAAAGCCGCAGCCTTTGCTGCTGACTCAATGATGGGAACACTGGAGAGCATTCTTCGCTGGGGGCAAGTAGCACCTCTTCAAAAAGTGCCTCCCAAGCACGGCTGTGGGTCTTTCCAGCCTGGTAGATTTGAAGTCTGGGTGATCCCCACTGGCTTCATTTGGATGCTCTGAGCCCATGAGGCCAAGGCCACTTGCTACACCAAACCTGAACCTGGACAAATGATCTGTCCTTACAAGTGCTGACACTAGCATCAGCTTGACACTGCCAAGCCCTTGCAGTGAGCCCAACTCTGAGGATGTCTTGTTCTTGAGTTGTCACTAGGGAAACTGGGCCAGTCCAAAGCCAGGAGCTTTTTCCAGGTCTCACATTCAATGCTACCTTCCTCCTGGTCTCCCTACATAAAGACTGCATGCCTCAATCTCTAGGCGTCCTTCCCCTGCTTGCTCTCCATGGCAGCGTGCCCACCTGAAAGACTGTGTGTTTCATCACTGCATGTACTTCTCTCCTCTAGCATGTCGGCTCCAGGACCGTGGTGGCTTTTAGCCCTAGCTCACCGCTGCAGTTCTTGTGTTTGAACAATGCCTGGCATGCAGAAGGTGCTTAATAAATGTTTGGTAGGTGAGTTCATGAATAAACGAGAAGAGCAGCTTTGACTACCTGGTCTCTGACCCTTTCAGCAGTCCTGGAAGATAGGGGTGGGTGTGGGTCCCCTGAAGCTCAGGTAGGCAGGACCTGCCTGGGCTAGTAGCCGGCTACTCTCAGATGATTCTTGTGTTATGTTTGATTAATTTCACCCCAAAGGTGATCCCTGCAGTTAGGTGCCAGCCCCTCTTTGCTGTGTATAAGCTCCCCTCACTGGGTGGTTCCTGCTGCCTCCCCAAGACATCAAAAGCACTATAGCAACAAAAGTGGAAACAGACAAGTGGGTTTGCATCAAATGATAAATGATGAGAACATCAGAGGAAACCACAGAATGACAAGGCAAGCTACGGGACAGGAGACGTTTACAAGTCATGTCTGTGCGTAGATTAAGATCCAAGATACTGTGCTGCTTTTCTCTGCTGTGAGTTGCCCCGGGAGGCGGAGGGCAGAGGGCTCTTGGGACAAGAGACCCAGCCAGTGTCCAGGGAGGGCAGAGGGTGTGGTGCTTAGCACTTACTTTCCAGGAGGGCTCTGGACTGACTTGCAGGGAAAGACTGGCCGCCCTCTCTCCTGCCACACTAAGCACTTTCCAATGTGGGAGTCACTTGTGTGGAGCAAAGTTGGAAGGCCGTGGTGAGTGTGACCGCGTAAGCCCGGTGTGAAGCATTGAGCACCTGTGTCTTGGTTACCCCTCTAGTCCCGGACAAGCAGGGACAGCTGGTCACCTTGGGTCCTGCACATTCCGCTGAAACTCTGGTGCTCAAGTCCAGCCCTGTTCAGCAAGTCACTGGGATCTCCCTGCAGCACAACCTGCCTTCCTGAATTCTCTCATTAACCTTGGCAGCAACCCTGTGACCGTGACCATTGCCATCTGCAAGGGACAAAGCTGAGAGGGTTTGGCTGGTCTGTGATCACCCATAGAGTCCATGGCTGGACCGTGATCTCATCAGTCCAGGGGCCACGTTGTAACATATCTGAAACAGCAGCATGTCTTAGAGGACGCCTTCTGCCAACAGGCAGGCCCCCACAAGTTGCCTTGGCCTGAGTAGGGCCAAGCTTGATAGCAGTTGGTCATGTTTACATCACCTGGGCCAAATTGTGTACTTTTGGAACTGTATATGCTGTTTAACATGTCCTCCAAGACCCTGCGTGATGATTTAGATCAGTCTGCAAACAACCCCAAGGGGTGACTTTGATACCAGGAGAAAAAATGTCTGTTGTTGGAGCGATGAAGACAGTTCCACGTGCTTGAATGCAACGCACAGAGGAGCACATTCCTTCTGTAGGTCGTGTTCTGCAGCTGAGGTCCATGGAGAAGGAGGGCAGGCAGTCATGTGCCTGGCACCACAGGGCATCTGACTCTGCTGCCTGAGGATCTGCCCCGGTGGCAGGTTCCCTGGTCATTGCCATGCTGCTGGCTGGAGACCACATTTGGAGGACTTAGAATGAGCGAAAGCCGAGCCAGTGCCACCGAGAAAGTGAACGCATCTCCATGAGGGGCAGGTGCAGCTGCAGCGAGGCTTGGTGTGAGGACGGGAGACGGTATATCGGACCCTTCCTGCTGATGTTAAACCACTGCCTCTTCGCTTCCCTCAGCACTGTTCCATGGGGAAAAATGGAACTTGAAACTTGACTCAGACATCAGAAACATAACCCAGGTGTGGTTTGCCAGACGTCGGCGTGATGGCGACCAGACACCTGGATGTCCAGTGTCCCAAGATGTCTTAAAGAACATGATGGGTTAAGAACGCTTTCTGCTGGGCCTGGTGGGGTAGCCTCGCAGCTAAAGTCCTCACCTTGCAAGTGATGTCATCCCATATGGGTACCAGTTTGTATCCTGACTGCTCCATTTGCCATCTAGCTCCCTGCTTGTGGCCTGAGAAAGCAGTTAAGGATGGCCCAAAGCCTTGGGACCCTGCCACCCACATGGGAGACCCAGAAGAAGCTCCTGGCTTCAGATTGGCTCAGCTCCAGCCATTGTGACCACTTGGCGAGTGAACCATTGGATGAAAGATCTTCCTCTCTGTCTCTCCTCCTCTCTGTATATCTGACTTTCCAATAAAAATAAATAAATCTTTAAAATTTTAAAAAGAACATTTTCTGCCATGATAGGCTTATTTGGGCAGCTTTTTTCTCAAATATAAAATAATAGTGCATCTTTCGATCTATAGCATGTTAGGTAAAAAGAAATAGTGTCACTGTTTTAAGAGAATTCACAGCACCTTGAACATAGGGAATACCACCCACATGGGTGACCCAGTTTCAGCCAACCTGTTATGAGCATTTAGGGAGTGGGTCAGCAGATGGAAGATCTTTTTTCTTTGTGTATTTGTGTGTGTGTGTGTGAATCTGCTTTTCAAATGAATAAATCTTCTAAAAAAGTTAAAGAAGTAGCTATTGGATCTTTGTGTTACGAAAAATTAGTAACCGCAGCATCTTTTAGTTTCAGCTCCAGAGTTTGTGTTTGAACATGGCTATCAAACCTATCTTCCTGCGGAAAGTAATGAAAACCAGACGGCCACTGTCATCTCTCTCCCTACCAAGACACGCACCAAAAAGCCAGCAGCCGTAACTGCTCAGCGGAGGCTCAGCTGTTGCTATCCAGGTAACGTGTGTAGTGATGTCCTGTGGTCACATCCCGTGGCCAGGGTAGAAGGCTTGCTGTTGAGCCAGGTTCCAAGGCTCATGCTCCTGAGTTCCTGCAACTGGATATAGATGTGCTCCATGTCAACTGGCCCAAAACCTGAGCCTCAGGGCATTGCCATTAGCCCGTAAAACCTGCTACTACTCATTCTACTCATCATGCCTAGGTGTTCCCAGGCCTTCACAGTCATAGGCTTAGAAATGAAACTGAGGGAACTGCCGTTGTGACATAGCAAGTTAAGCTCCCTCCTACCATGCTCACATCCCATGTGGGTACCGATTCAAATCCTGGCTGCTCCATGTGCATTCCAGCTTCCTGTTAATACACGTGGGGAAGTAACAGAAGGTGGCTTGAGTGCCTAGGCCCTTGCACCCATGTGGAAGCTCTTGACGGAGTTCCTGGTTTCAGCTTGGCTCATCCCCAGCCACTGTGGCCATTTGGGGAATGAAACAGAGAATGGAAGATCTTTCTCTATCTCTCCTCTCCACGACTCTGCCTTCCAAATAAAATAAATCATTAGAAAAAAAGAATGAACTGAAAACTCCAGGACACTGGGAATTTCTTTTCCCATGCTACAATTTAGGGAGACATCCATGATTATTTTTTTTCTCCTTACTTTTGTTTTATACTTTTTATTTGGAAATTGTTTCAGACTCATGGAACAGTTGCAAGAACAAGACCAAAACTTGCCCATGTGGCCTTCATCTACGGCCCACATGTTAACATTTCCCAAATCTGAAGCTTTCTTCTGTGGTCACCAACTATCCTGTCCTGACCTGTCCAAAAATAAAATCCCGCTCCCGGTCCAGGCTGTAGCCAGGCTCCCTGCTTGCAGTGGCTCTGTGTCCTTGGTGTCCTTTCATGAGGAATGGCGAAGCTGTTGCCTTGTGTGAGCCGACAGTCACCTGGGCTGAAAGTGCCCAGCTTGTTTGTGATTGGGGGGTTGTAGTAGAAATCTAAGACCGAAGCTGTGTTCTCCCTGGGGCGTTGCATCCACAGGCCCAGATGTGTTCATCCTATTTATAGGTGTTAACTTTTGTCACTTAGCTAAAGAAGTTTCTGTTCGTTTTTAATACCCTAAAGTCTATGTTCACTTTACTTCTTTTCTAAGAATTACTTTATTTGAAAAGCAGAGTTCAGAGACAAAGAGGGAGAGACAGCGAGAAGGGTCTCCATCCATTGGTTCGCTCCCCAAGAGGCCACAGTGACCAGAACCGAGCAGTCCTGAAGGCAGGGACCAGAGCTGCTTCCAGGTCTCCCACATGGGTGCAGGGGCCCAAAGACTTGGACCATCCCTCCGCTACTTTCCCAGTGAGCTGGATGGAAAGTAGAACAGCCGTGATCCAAGCTGTGTCCGCAGCAGCTTTGACCTCTGCTGTATCATGACACACCTCAGTGCTTTTCTAATTTATCGCTCCTTCCTGTTTTTAGGTTGCCAATTCAAGACTGCCTACGGCATGAAGGACATGGAGCGGCACCTGAAAATCCACACAGGTATGAGATGCTCCTGGGCCATGTGCCCCGAACACCTGCTCTATGCCCAGGGCTGGGGTTCTGGCTAACTTGGACTGGGGCCTGACCCAGAGCCTCACTGGGTGTCACAAGAATACAAATGTTTGTGCATGTCGTTTTGGCAGAAAATGTTTAAAGCATGGAAGAAAAGAATGTGAGCCAGCCTCGCAAATAGGAATTCAAGCTGCTGCCGCCGTTGCATGAAAATCAGCCAAATTCATAGAAACTAGAATGCAGTGTCGTTGTCTCTGTGAGGTGTGTGTGCATGTGTGCGTGTGTGTGTAGGAATAAGGGCAAAGGATAATGACATGTATATCTTTCTGTGGCGTCATCGGATGCAGTGGATATAGTATGTGTTATTTTGTGACTTTGAAAAGTACTTTTTTTTTAAAGGGGAGAACAAGATCAATGCAAGGAGGAGAGTTGATTCTTTCTGGTGATTTCCCTTTTTAAATTATCTTTGTGATTTCTTGATTTTGTAACAATGGGGAAATACTTTTAGGCCTTGCTTTTTATAATTCTTTAAACGTATTTATTCATAGAAAATGGACAAATTTCACATATATCACAGTACAGATTTAGGCACCCACTGATTCTTCCCACGCTTCCCTCCACCTGCCTGCATTCCCCACCCACCCTCCTCCTTCCTTAAACGGATCACTTTGTGACTTTGTCTGTCATCATTGAGCCGTGCTCATCTTCCCTGTGTTGTTCCAGTGTCAGCAATGTGCCGCCCAGCGAGCACAGAAAGCCTTCTTTAGCAGAGGGTTCTGTGTTCCTCCTTAAATGCTGCAGACATGTAGCCATTCGGAAGCATCAACATGCGTGAGTGAGGGCTACCACACTGGAATCTGACTTTGGCTTCATCTGGCCCACATCTGCTGTTCAGCCAATGATTGTTGACTATATTCTTTGGTGCAGAGCAGTGAGGGCCTTAGTGCTTTTAGAGTTACTGTCAGAGAGTAACATGTCTGGCATGTCATTTGGATTTATTCCAATTGCCCAGATGTTAAGTTTCTAAACATTACGGCAATGAGCCTCTCTATGTGGGTTTCACACTCGGAGGCTGCACTAGCCATGTTTGACATCGTAAGAGCCAGGTGCTTGGAGAACGGTGGATGTTGTGGAAAGCATGGCAGAAGCACAGGTGAGGGCAGCAGCTCGGCAGCCAGGCTGTGTCCCGCGTCAGTGTCTGTCAGACTGATGTGTTTCCATTGACATCTTCAAGGTTAACAAGAAGGTGTCCAGAGAGGACAGCAGTGACCTGAACCTTAGCCCCTGGAGACTGGGGCTGCAGCCACGGCAGCTCCAGGGCTCCTTCCCAGCAGAACTGGCTGAAGCTGCCCACCCCATCCACCCCCGCCATCTCGCCCTTGTGCTCATAGGCAGAGTGGCTCCAGGGGTGCTGTTGTGGCCCCCAGTGCTGGGAAGTGAAGTTGCTGGGTTTGACTTTTCCTCTTCCTTGTGAAAACCTTTAACACATTTCCCCGATACATCCTTCTTTCCCCTGAGTTGATGGTGATCTGTTTTGACAGTTAATTTTAGCGCTTGGCTATTTAGGATTTGGCCAAAATACATGGTTGGCATGTGAAGTAAGAAGCAAAAATCTCAGGTGGTCGCCCACCTGCTCCTCCCTTGGCCAAAAGTCAGCTGTGGTGCAGCAGTCTAGAATTAAAGCATACAGAATCTGTTTCCCATCTCTTCCCAAGTTAACACAATGCCACATTGTATACTGTCGCTTTATATATTATGTAGGTACCACATTATATGCTATCAACTACAACATGCTTTCTTCAGTTAATATTGAAGATCTTTTCATGTCAGTGTGTGTATATCTACTGCATTCTTTCATTAGCCAAAAGTGTTTAAATTTGTGTTACCTGAGAGGGTTGGTTTGCTTGCTGCCAGCAATAAATCAGAAAACCTGTGTCGGATAGTTCGCGTTGTTCACAGGTGGCGAGGTGGTGTGTGTGTAGTGAAGTCAGGAGGACGGCCAGACAGCAGCTCAAGGCAGGCCCGGCTTTGAGTCTCGCTCACATCGCCATCTGGAGGGGGGCAAGTGGCACATCTGTGCCAGGAGATCCCAGAGGATCCCAAGTCCTTCCCATTGCAGTATGTCGCATCCTCTCCCTAAATGCTGGCAGCCTACCTACCTGCCCTTGGCCTCACCTGCTTTCTCTTGCCTGGAGCTGAGTTACAGCTAGCAAGAAGGCAGAGGCAGCTGTTCAGAAGGGGAGCGATTGCCTGTTTTCACAGGGACACACTTTATTTAGTCTCTGCTGTGATATTGACCAAGACTTGTCACAGGAATCTACCTTGCTACAAGTGAGGCTGCGAAATGCTGCCTTCTGGGTCCTAGTTTTTGAGTGCTTCTCTGCAAGGGGAAAAGGGGAGACTTACTGCAAGCAGCAGTTAGCAGCTTCTTATTTTACTCAGCTATACTTCAAAATGTTACTTTAGTAGACGTCTGCTTTTAATAAATGAAGAATTCATCTTCATTGAGAGGGGGGAAAAAAGAAAATGCCAATAAGCAAAGTAGAATGAAGAGCTTCCTCCTCTTCCCTCCCTGCCCCCGAGCAACACAAGATTCTCTTTGCCAATTATCTGTTCCACTTTGGGGGATTTTTTTTCTAAGGACGCATTTTACTTTTGTCCCAAGATCATGAGCCGTAAACCTGTTCCCGTTTAATCTCGTTTCCTGCTGCCATCTGTGTGTGTTTGAAGGAGACAAACCCCACAAGTGTGAAGTGTGTGGCAAGTGCTTTAGCCGGAAGGACAAGCTGAAGACCCACATGCGGTGCCACACGGGCGTGAAGCCCTACAAGTGCAAGACGTGCGACTACGCGGCGGCCGACAGCAGCAGCCTCAACAAGCACCTGCGCATACATTCCGACGAGCGCCCCTTCAAGTGCCAGCTCTGCCCCTACGCCAGCCGCAACTCCAGCCAGCTCACTGTGCACCTGCGATCGCACACCGGTGAGTGCCACCTGTCGCTCCCGCTCTGCAGGCCTCGCTTACAGCAGCACATGCACCTTGGAGGGTGTGCCCACCCCATGAGAAAACACACAGAAGCGTTTGATCTTCCCAAGGTGTGCCCATCTGCTTTCCTTCGCCCAGATGAAGCTGCCCTTGTCAGCAGCATGGGGGAGACACAGTGTGTGTAACTTATGTGCATCTTTCTCTAAGTTCAGGACTATAGTACATTCTGAGTGAAGTGTGCAGTCTGGATCCACTAGATGAAGCAGAGCTCTAAGGAGTGCGTCGTGAATGTACTCCTGCGTGCACTTAGACATGTCAGTAGTCTATATACTCAGCAGGAACAGCACGATCCGAACACGTGGCAGTCAGCAGAGAAAGACAGATGCGTGCTTTCCTTCCGGTGTGGTGTTGGGGAGGCCAGGGGCCCCCCAGCTTTGGCCGTGGGCTTCTCTGTGCGTTTCTAATCCAACCTAAGTTTGTTCTTCTATGACCAGCACAAGCCAGCCAGTCAGCCCTGCTCAGGCCTCTGCTTGTGTCCATCTGTAAGCCTCTCCGTGGCTAAAGCAAGTCATCTGGTTGAAACTGGGGTCAGGGACGGGAAGAAGCATCCAAAGGTTACACGGGAAAGGCAGCGGTTAAAGGAGAAAGTGGAAAACTGGGGGCATGACCACAATCGCCTGTATCCCTCTTCCATCAGTCACATCTCTGTCAGACAACACGTGCTCACCTCTTCCCAGGACCCCTCACGCACTAGGGCTTCAGGGCCTGAGCCATGGGGTCTCCCTCGGGTGCCCCATGTTCCTCTTCATCTGGGGTCAGTTGAGATGAGAAGACAGGCTCCTTGTTTGCACACCACATGTATGACAGAACCCTTGTGATGATCCGGTTTGAAGAGGGAGGGTGGCAGGCACACTTGGCAGTCACTCATGCTGGGCAGGAGGTCCCAGCGTCCACCAGGCCGTATTTCTGGATTAGGCCTCGGCTCAGCGGCCTGGTTCTGCCTCTGCCTATGGGAGCATCCTTCCATCACCTTCCTTAGCTGCTTTGCAAAATAATTGGAAATCTACTCTGGATGGAGTTTCTCACCTGCTGAAAGCCAGAGGTCTTTTCTGTTTTACGTTTTACCAAACCGTTGGCGAGTAACACAGTAAAACTCTCCAAAGCCTTGTGAGTCTCATACGTCCATATGCCAAGACCCACACCCACAGCTCTCTGAGGGTCTTGCTTTTCTTTTAAACTCATCACGTAGGCACTGAGGACACATAGCTTTCTGTGGGAGCTAGGAGTTCATTTGTCTGACTTGGAGAATCCGCTTGACACCAACTTAATCCTTTTGAAGATTTTGACACTCAGATCCCGCATTTCTTACAGATCAGTTCCTGGAATGTGGTCTTTGTCCCTGGGATTTTGTCTTACTTCAGGAGTCCTTGGGCGGTGCCCTTGGAACTCTGGCTGGCTGTGATGGCTGAGGAGTCGCTTCATTCTGCAACTCTTCGACTTTCTTATTGTCTTGAAATTCTGCTTTGAAAATAGCTGGTTCCCTTTTACAGTGCCTTATCATAGGTGACTGATAAAATATTTGCACTGTTTTACTTAGCATTTGCCTCCTTCTCAAATCTAAAACTGGTTCTGTGCATTTTCTGTCTTCTAACTTACTGCATATGACAGTTCTGATCAAATATTTGCCTTTGCATGCTGCGACTTGGGGTTTCTCCAACCCTGACCTGCATCTCAATCCAAAAGAAATGCAGGTTTCGCTTCCATGTTGTGACAACACCCCATTTCTAGATATCAATGTGTGTATTGACTGCGTATTGTCACAGCGATAACGGTGTAAAAAAAAAACTTACAAAACCTTTTTGAGTACTACAGTTCTGCTGACCCTGACCGGGCTCACCTGTGAGTCTGCCAGTCTGCTGGCCGCTCACTGGCTTGGCTGGGATAGTCTAGCTCTATTGACCGTGGCAATGACCCAGGTGGGAGTAAATGAGCAAATAGGGCATTTCAAGCCGTTTAAACCACTGTTGGGCAAACGCAGTGACATGATAGGGCCTGTCATGGCAGTCATGGCATTGTTGATGGGAGAGGGCAGAAGCCCTGGGAAGAGTGAGAGTTAGGGACATCCGGGGCATTTTGTAGCAGTAGCTGGTGCCTGAATGGTTTCCTCAGAAATTCTCCACGCCCTCATCAGAGACATGGAAGGATTCATTTATGAAATAGGTTCATTTCGACTTCTCAGAATGAACTTCCTGCTTGTAGTGGCATCTTTAAATTGGTCTAGAACAGTCATATTTTTCTAAAACTTTAAATGTGTGCCATTTAAGGCCTTGTTTCCATAAAACATTCGTGTTCTTTTTTTTGGAAATCAGGGACACTTGTAAAATTTTAGAATTCATCAGATTTTGTTCTCTTTCCACTGGCTTGATGAGCTCAAACATCAGACATTGTAGAGGCAATGTCAGGTCTAGAAAGATCTGTCAGCTTAAAAATATCCATCACACACTCATTCAACAACATTCCTTGAGTCTGTCCACGCACTGGACACTGGAGGGGAGGGAGTAAGCAGGACCAAACACAGTCCTTGGTCTTGGGGAGCTACAGTCTTAGGGGGCTGTCTGATTAATACACCTCAATGAAGAAGGCTAAACTGCCTCTTGGGTTGCCCACATCCCATATCAGAATGCAAGTTCAAGTCCTGTCTCCTCCGTTTTCAATCCACCTTCCTGCTAATGCATCCTGGGGAGGCACTGCATGATGGCTGGACTGCTTAGGTCCATGCCGTCCACATGGCTCCAACCCTGAACCTGGCCCAGCCCTGGCTTTTGTAGACAGTTGGGGAACATTCTAGATTCTTACTCTGGATCTACAGATAAATTCTTCCAGGAATGCATGAGTAGAATTCATCAGGTCTGTGAACCTGATTGGGAAAAGAAGTCACATCTTCACTTGTACGAAATTGGACGTGTCCTTCGATTATAAAAACAGGCGGCCAGTCTAGGAACGGTGTGTGTAACTCGCCGCCAGAGGAAGCCTCAGGTGTCGTCAGCAGTGGTGGTGAATGGGCGGACCATTCTACGTTCTTCAGTGTCAAGTCCGTGCTTACTGTTCCTGCCACCAGATCCTGTTACTCATGGCACGGGAAACACACATGGCCGGACAGCACATCCTGCCTTTTAGTAGCTTAGTGACTGTTTCAGTAAAACTGGTTGCTCTGGTATGTCTGTGAGCTTCATTCGAGCTTATTTTGTGCATTTGAAACATGATTCACAAACCTGTCCCAAAGGGGTGATAGCATTGAAGAGAACAGGCGTCGGGCAGAAGGTAGATGTCTTGGGCTTTGGAGCCTAGACCTGCCAGTACTCACCTCTGCTGGTAAAACATCAGAGTAACCATGTGTCAAGAAACGGTCGTGGCTGGTCCCAATAAAAGGTTTATTTATTTAAAAAAGGCCGGGGGACAGGAATTTGCCATCAGACTATTGATTCCTTGTTCTAGAGTCTAGAAGACCTTGGTAGTTTGATCATTTAAGCCATTGTTTTAGATGTAGGCATCGTTTCCAGAAGCTTCTTCAGTCACTCCCTACTGTCTGTCATTGTATTTTTTAAGAAGCCGGTGATCACAGCCAGAACCCTGGAATGCAAGCCCAGTGTTTTACGTTTATGACCTAAGGAGGAGGATGTGAGCCAGTTGTGCAGATAATTACGTAGCATCCAAGAATGGCAGCTTTGGAATCGTGGCCCTGCCTGCCACCTCCTCCTGGGTGACCATGAGCAAGTTTTTTAGTGCTGTGGGCCACAGTATCTTCTGGACCAGAGCACCCACCTCAAGGGCTGGTGCCAGCATCCCAGCAGACCGTCCCACCTGGTGGCACCTGCCACCCCACGAGCAATAGAAGGCCATAGCTGCTGCTCTTTCACTTGCTTTCGCACCCACCTGTGACTAGCATCATCTGTGCCTTAGATAATGTGGACTTGGCGCTCCATGAGCGGAACTGAGAGCCGTTCACATGTTTGCAACTCCGCCTTCCCTGCTCGTCTCTCGGCAAATACGAATGTTGGTTTCTTTTGTTATTATTTTTAATCAAGCAGCTGGATTTTGTAACCTCACAAATGAAGAAGGCAGCTGGCAAATGTGGGATAAACAAATTGTGTGCAATAAACACATCTTGATTAATAAAAATGTGCAGCGTGTAAGCTGGGTGTCCCAGCCCAGCCTTTGCGGGGCACTTGGAGCTGACCCATTTGAAAATGCCTTGCCAAATCTGTGTCCTATAAGTCAAGCAGAAGCAACGGATCCTGCGAAAGTGTACATCGGTGAACCTCTGGCCCGCCAAATGGGCACCCTCTAAGCTTAACTGTCTTAAGCAACCTAAGTATGTTCACAAATCATATTTTGTCGGGGACAATTAGGTAGCTGTCTTCCATCTCCCAGTTTTGTTTCGGCTTTAGGCTGTGTTTTTCCTTCCGGGTTTGATATCAGAGGTGGTAGTTTAGGCTGGGGGAGAGAAGCGAACCCCTCGCCCCTAGGAACGGGATTCAAGAGTTCCGCGTCGCTTTCCCGGGTGTGCGCTTCAGGGGGAATCGGCTGCAGTTGTTACCTGCCTGTTCTTATGGAAACTCACCTTGTGTTGACAGGGGACGCCCCCTTCCAGTGCTGGCTCTGTAGCTCCAAGTTCAAAATCAGCTCGGACTTGAAGCGGCACATGCGGGTGCACTCGGGGGAGAAGCCCTTCAAGTGCGAGTTCTGCGACGTGCGCTGCACCATGAAGGGGAACCTCAAGTCGCATGTGCGCATCAAGCACAGTGGGAACAACTTCAAATGTCCGCACTGCGACTTCGTGGGTGACAGCAAGGCCACCCTCCGCAAGCACAGCCGCCTGCACCAGGCCGAGCACCCCGAGAAGTGCAGCCAGTGCAGCTACGCCTGCTCCAGCAAGGCGGCCCTGCGCGTGCACGAGCGCATCCACTGCGCCGAGCGCCCCTTCAAGTGCAGCTACTGCAGCTTCGACACCAAGCAGCCCAGCAACCTCAGCAAGCACGTGAAGAAGTTCCATGCAGACAAGGCCGAGGCCTCAGACAGGAAGGACGTGGGCAGGCAGGGAGGCCGCCAGCTGGCCAAGCTGGACGCCAAGAAGACGTTCCACTGTGACTTGTGCGACGCCTCCTTCATGCGCGAGGACTCCCTCCGCAGCCACAAGCGGCAGCACAGTGAGTACCAGGAGAGCAAGAATTCCAACCTGACAGTCCTGCAGTTTCAGATTACCCCGGGCAAGCCGCCCGCCGCGCCCCTCACCGTGGGCCAGCTGCAGGTGCCGCTGCAGCCCAGCCAGGTGCCCCAGTTCGGAGAGGGCCAAGTCAAGATCATCGTGGGCCAGGTGCCCCAGGCCAACAGCATCGTCCAGGCCACTGAAACCGCCACTGCCACCGCCGTCAGTATCGTGCCGCCAGCCCTGGTGGCACAGAGCCCGGATGAGCTATCGGGCAGTGGGCAGCGGCTGCAGATCCTGCGCCAGGTCAACCTGATCGCCCCGGGTCAGGCCACGGGCTGCGCGTCCGAGGCGGGTGCCCTGGCGCAGCCCACGGTCCTGTTGGCTGCACATGACCACACGCTCATCCCTGCGGCGCCGGCCGGGCCCGCGGAAGGCGCTGGCGGCCAGACCTTCATCGCCAGCTCGGGTATTACCTGCACTGACTTCGAAGGCCTCAACGCCCTCATCCAGGAGGGTGCAACCGAAGTGACCGTGGTGAGCGACGGAGACCAGAACTTGGCGGTAGCATCTACAGCCCCGCCCATGTTCTCCTCCTCTTCTTCCTCTTCCTCCTCCTCTTCCTCAGCCTCCTCTTCCTCGCAGCAGGAGCTGCCCAAGCCAGCTTTCTCTATCCTCCCAGAAGCGGCTCACACAGCTGCGCTCTGCCCGGCTGATTCCATCCCAGACTAGGATGCGAGGACGCCCGGGAGGTGGGTGGGCATACCTAGAGGGAATCCCCGTGGGCTCCCATCCCCAACGAAGGCTGTGAATAAATTGTGGGGGGGTTTTATATTTGATTATTATGATTTCCTGACAGTTGTGGCCTGGAGACCTTGCAGTTCTCTGGAGTGGTGTTCCCGGTGATGGTGGCTGGCGGTCTTGCATAGTGGCCAAAGTGATGGGCCCCCGAGCAGGGGCCAGGGTTGAGGGTATCCCCTGGGGTTTCCAGCTCTGTTGCAGGTTGGGGTGGGAAGTGGCGCCCATACCCCCTTCTGAATCCATGCTGCTGAACATGTACATGGAAGGTACATATGATAAGGGGTGTGACTGCCCACTTATGCCATAGCATTTCTTCAGTTTCACCTTTAATTTAAACGAAGTGCCCAAATCCGCTAGTAGGGTGTCTGGGTGTCGCTGAAGAGCTGTGTGGCTCTCCATGTGGAGATCTGCGTCCCTGGGCCTGGGTTAGGTTCCCTCCTAACTTGCTGCATGATGAGATGGTTGAGGGGCGGTGGACGTGGCTGTAGAGTTGAGTGTGCCGTCGCCTCCTTCACGGTTCAATCTGTGGATTGCTGAAGCCATATGACTTGTGCACTGAGACTTCCGGAAAGGGTCCAACTGTGAGGCAAGTTTTAAGTAATATGAGAGATCGTTTTCTAGGATGCTGTCTTTCTTAAATGTTAATGGGTGCTCAGAGTTAACGTCAGGCTGCAGCTGAAGCTGGAAAAAGCATCTAAGTGTCTTCCCAAGGGGGAGCCGCAATGAGAGGAAATACCAAGTTGTGTAGTTTTGAATTGACATGCTGGTTGATCAGGAGGTGGCGCCAGAGAGCAAGCTAGAATCTCCAGGTTAATGCCTGCACTCGCGGGGCTGGAGCGAGTAGCCCGGACTCCGCATCCGCACCTGTCCCGCCAGGGGCGGTTCCTCCTGTGAGAAGCCTATTTAGAACATCTGAGAATTCATTTCCACCACCTTCATTCTTCCCTATAAGCCTGTTTACTCACAAGCATCATCTTACTGTTATTGTAAGATGTGATTTTTGGTCTTGATAATACCAAGCCAGGGAAAGGTACCTTGGAGAGTTCTGCTCTGGGCTGTGCTGGTATCTCATTGTCTTTTGGTTCTTTAATCCTGAATATCTGAACACAATGCTGAGGCCTCACTGTGCTTTTCGTTTGTTTTGTTTGTTTGTTTGTTTGTTTTGTTTTGCCAGAGGTTACTTATTTTTGTATCAGTCATAGGTAGTAACTATTAAGTATGGCCTTGTAAGCAATAGAAAAAGCTTTTCCGTAGTTAAAGCTGAGCAGGGGAACTTGTGCTGGCCGAACCTGCCCTCTGCATCTTTATCTTTTTTTTTCCCCCAGAGTGCCAACTTTTAAATAATTTTTTCCTGATTATAAGTGATATATATTTCAGATATAAATTTGAGAGGCCATTTTATTCAGAAAATTGCAGTCAACCATCATCTTAAGACACATCACAGCTCTTCAGGTAGGCTCCTCTCTGGCCTTCTCTGCTACTATTTGTGTCTTTCCAAGCCAAGCTATAACGTTGTAGTTTTTTAAAGATTTATTTATTTGAAAGAGTTACAGAGAGAGGAGAGATCTTCTATTTGCTGGTTCAGTCTCTCCAATGACTAGCTCAGCCAGGACTGGGCTAGGCCAGAGCCGTAGCCGGGAGCTTCGTCCAGGCCTTCTGCCTGGGTACCGGAGCCCAGGCACTTAGGCCATCTGCTGCCACTTTCTCGGGCTGTTCACAGGAAGCCACGTGGGAACTGGAGTAGCCAGGACTCAAAGTGGCGTTTATATGAGATGCCTATTTTAGTACAAAAAAAATATTTGAAAACCATGTGGAGAGTTTCCTGGTATGCGTCTTCATTCTGTGCTCTTCACATGAGCTTTCTGTAGACCTTCACATGCCCACTCGAGGTCCCACCAGCACAACATGGGTGCCCAAGGCAGCATGGAGAAGGTTCTTCCTGAGTCATGCTAAGTCCACATTTCTGAGACCGCGCCGTGCGCTAGGAAAAGGGCCAGCATCCTTTTCGGTTGCATTTTCTTCCTCTGCAGGTGTGCTTCCCAAAAGTGAGTTTCAGCAAGTTCTCAAGATTTCTACTTGCAAAGATTCAGTTTGTTTTCAAAGTAGTGGCTTTCCCTGTGCTGTGGGTGAGTGTGGTCCGCGTGCTGAGCGACAGGGCCTCCCCAGCTGCTGTCCAGCTGCCGTAGTGACAGCTGCCAGTCCTCTTTCACTGTCCCCCGGGCTGTGGGGAACGGGACAGGCTCGCTGGGTTTCCTTGCTCTTCATGTCTTGGCTTCTGCTTTTTCGTGTGGCTCAGTGACCATCTAGAAATGACTTTTCTTACGTGTCTCTGTGTGTGTTGCTTCGTCTGTGACTTCTTTGCTTTTTAAGATTGTCCCCCTGGATCCTGAGATTGAATTTCTTTGATCATTTTACTGCTTGCTCATTTGTGTTTACTTAGTACCTACCACAGCCAAAATCTATGTTTCTACATGTAAGGTATATATGATAGTGGGTGTGACTGCCCACTTATGCCATAGCACTTCTTCCATTTCACCTTTAACATAAATGAAATTCCCAAGTCCACTAGGATCTATTTCTTGAGTTTGTTGCTGATCCTTGTGGCCCTGACTTACAGTATCAACGGTTGAATGATAGTGGTATTAACATAAACATTCATCTTTTACACTAGCTTTTTTTTTTTTAATTTTTCTCAGCAAATCTTAGATAGTCATTCTTCCAAATGAAATTGGTTCAACTACTATCAATCTCACTGCTGCTCACCCCTATAAAAACAACCTTGTAGAAAAGTTTATTGGAATTGCATTGATGCGAGATATGTACTTATGAAAAAGAATGTCTTTCAAAGAACGATTGGTTTATTTACTTATTTGAAAGGCAGAATGATGGTGCAGATAGGGAAAGACCCCATCCTGTGGATTCCTCCCCACAAGGCCACAACAGCCAGGTCAGGACAAGGCTGAAGCCAGGAGCCAGGAGCTCCAGCATGGCCTCCCCTGTGGGTGGCAGGCACCCAGCACTTGGACCATCTTCTACCAACTAACTAACCATATTATCTGGGAGCTGGAACAGAGGTGGCATAGCCAGAATGCCACCCAGTACCCCAAGATGGAATGCTGGCAGCACAAGAGGCAGTTAACCCACTGTACCTCAGCACCTACCCCAAAGCATAACTGTTGTTTTTTGTTTGTTTGTTTAATATTTGCTTATTTTAATTGGAAGTGAGAGTTACAGAGAAAGGGGAAAAAGCAGAGAGAAATCTTTCATGCACTGGTTCATTCCCCAAAGAAGTGTTTTAAGTAATTATTTGTCATAAGCATGTCAAAAAGCTCTTTTTCATATGTTTATCTGTACTTGCCTGCGATGACTAGCGAGTCATGGGACACCATCATCTCATCTCTTCCCTGACAATGTTTATCCCGTTTGCGTTGCTCTTTGTTTTTTATCCTGTTGCATGAAGCAGAATATGCAAACAGTGTTGACACCACCGGCATGTTAACTGGACTGGCTTTAGAATTTCTGTTTAGCACCGTGCGTACTTTCCTTTGGGGCATTTTCTCCTATGCCAGTTTTTGTGTGCAGTCTTCCTGAAGATGGGCTGCTGAGTTCTAAGCGGTGTGCTTTCCGTGTGTCCTGCCTTGATTCTTCGGCGTTTGCACTTGTGCGTGTTAGTGCAGTGAATCAGTGTAGGACCTCGCCTGACCGTGAGCTACCTGCGTTCCTGGAGTTAGGCTTCTTGATGATGCTGGATTGTTCTTCCAACGCACCATTGGGTTCCACTTCCTGGCATTGTTTGCAATTTGTGCAAGAGTCCGAGTCAGGTCCTTTCGTCTCTCGTTTTCTCTTTTGTGCTGTCTCTGATTACAAGGTCGCTTCCTGTGTGTCATAGCGAATGATGTAGTCTGTCCTTCTCATCTCCCCTTTGCTGAGTTCTCTTGTTGTGCCTGTAATTTTCATTATAATTCACCTTGTTTCCCATCATTTTTTTAAACTGCAAAGCGCAATTTTATTTTAACTGTATTGATTATGCCCTGGTTAAATCTGCGACTAAAGCAGCTTTGGGGTTGGGCGGCTGCACGAGTCTGAGTGTGTACTAGAAGTGTGGCCAGGGTTCCCTGGGTTACCACCCTGGCTGATCCCTCAATCCCTTTTTGGGGTTTAGAGCATGTGTCACATCTTGGGACAGTAGGGAACCACAAACACAAAAGCACAGGAATCAGATTTGCCCAGATGGCCCAAGCTGCTGGGCTTGGGAGGACGTGGAGTGCAGGTGGACAGCATCCTCGCTGTCCTCTCACACACTCCTGCTGATTTCTTCCCTTGCCCTGTGCGCCCTTGAGAGCTGGTCCTTACCTTCAGAGGACCCTGGTTCTGTTAGGTTTGCGTTGCAGCTGTGTTTACATGTTTGCTTCTGTCCATCTCTTGTGCTGCAGGGGACACACTCCTGAGGGTAGGAACTCTGGGTCTTATCTACTGTCACATTCCAGACGGACAATCCTTTGATGCCATCATAGAGACCTGATACAGGGAAGAGTGGTCTGAGGATGGTACCCAAGTAGTTTTGAGGAAATCCTTTCACAGTCTATTGGTTGTCAAAGTTCACTTGAGTGTATCCACAGACCCGGGAAGGCACTGCAGAGCTGGGATGGGAAACTCATCCAGCCTGCTTTGTTTTCCTTGTTCTGACGAAGCAGTCAGTGTTCCCTGCTGCCCAAGATCTGACTGTCATGTTGCCATGTGCCTCTGGGCATGCTGTCCACTGCACAGGCATCAGCAACTGAGGCCCAGTTGCAGCACCTGCAGTCCAGTGTCAGACCACACATCCTGTTTTTGCCTGTGGCCAGGCTCTGAGTCCAACAGTCTGAATCCCCCAAGAAACCTCCCCTGGGGTGACCTCAGGTCTGACTCCCGTGTGTGCCAGCCAATGCAGGGTCAGGTTCGGGTCACCTGCGTCAGCCAACACATGCCAGTAGGTCAGGTCAGCCCCAGCCCCATCTCATGCGAAATGACAAGGGTTGTAGCCCAGGCCAGCCAGCCCGCCACAGGCTCAGTCTTCACGCATACCAGATGGTGCTGCAGCCTAGTCAAGGGGATCAACTTCAAGGTGACCCCCAATAATCCCCATCAGACCCACTCCCAGCCCTGGTTTTTGCACACGCCAGTCTCTGCTGAGGCCTAGTTCATCCCATCCCACATCCCATCTTGCTCTCATGAGCACCCATGGATATGGGAGTTCAGTTCAGCCCAACCCACCCCCAGACCAGCTTTCACATATTCTATGCCGACAGGTGCTGCCTTCATCCGGGCTTCCTTATAGGAGTCTGCCTCTCGATTCCAGCCCATTCCTGCCATCTTTGTGGTAGATGGGCTAGGAGGCTGGCCCAGGCAGCTTTGTCGTGTCACAGCTGCACCTGCCTGTAAGTGTGGGCAAGTGACAAATTCAGTTACACTTGGGCTTCCGGTTAAAATCCGGGAGCCTCTTACATACACCAGCATAGTTCGGTCTCACAGGATTCCACTGTGGCAGATCTAGCTGAGCTGCTCTTGGGGCTGCTGGCATGTGGTTCTCAAGGTTGTGTCCTG